TACTCTCAAACCATCATGAATTCCACAGAGTGAAGCCAGCAGAATACTCTCTAACCAACATGAATTCCACAGAGTGAAGCCAGCAGGATACTCTCAAACCATCATGAATTCCACAGAATGAAGCCAGCAGGATACTCTCTAACCAACATGAATTCCACAGAGTGAAGCCAGCAGGATACTCTCAAACCATCATGAATTCCACAGAGTGAAGCCAGCAGGATACTCTCAAACCATCATGAATTCCACAGAGTGAAGCCAGCAGGATACTCTCTAACCAACATGAATTCCACAGAGTGAAGCCAGCAGGATACTCTCTAACCAACATGAATTCCACAGAGTGAAGCCAGCAGGATACTCTCAAACCATCATGAATTCCACAGAGTGAAGCCAGCAGAATACTCTTTGAACACCATGAACTCCACAGAATGAAGCCAGCAGAATCCTCTCTTACACATGTCAACCATTAGTCAAGATTTCAAAATAATGTTACAATTTACAACAATTATGAAGCTTTTTTCGCTGTGTGATATAGTGCTAATCTGTGTGATACAGAGCTATTCTGTGTGTTTCTGTATGATACAGTGTTATTCTGTATGTGTGTAATATAAGGTTATCCACTCTCTGTGTGATACATGATTATTATGTACCTAAGAGTTTATTATTATATACCATGCCCTTACCATAAATACCTGGATAACTCTCTGATTCAGAGAAATACCCCACTAATGCAGTATTATTAATTTATGTTAATTTTATTCCGTTTCTGTATATGGAAACGTTCTTAAACTCCGAAATGAAAATGTTTGATAGAACAGAAACTTCTAGAACATTGTAGAATTCCGAATTTACGTCCAAAAATCACGGGTTTTCGTCCATATTTCAACACTGCACGTATCCCATGTTTTGAATGAGAACACGACTAAACAGGCGTTACCCATAGAAATACCTGTGATTTTGGTCTCAAAATAGATCTTGTCAGTTGACTTCGGCAACAAGTGAAAATTAGGTTTGATTTGTTATTCGCTAGCTTTCCATTCGCTTAAATTGCGGACGTTCTATTTTCTTTAGGTTTTTTAACTGTGCATATAATAGATATTACTGGCTTATACTGTTCTTATTAACTGTGCATATATTATATATTACTGGCTTATACTGTTCTTATTGTTCTTTTTAACTGTGCTTTTAATAGATATTACTGACTTATACTGTTCTTATTGTTCTTTTTAACTGTGCATATATCAGATATCACTGGCTTATACTGTTCTTATTGTTCTTTTTAACTGTCCATATATTAGATATTACTGGCTTATACTGTTCTTATTGTTCTTTTTAACTGTGCATATAATAGATATTACTGGCTTATACTGTTCTTATTGTTCTTTTTAACTGTGCATATAATAGATATTACTGGCTTATACTGTTCTTATTGTTCTTTTTAACTGTGCTTATAATAGATATCACTGGCTTATACTGTTCTTATTGTTCTTTTTAACTGTGCATATATTAGTTATCACTGGCTTATACTGTTCTTATTGTTCTTTTTAACTGTCCATATAATAGATATCATTGGCTTATACTGTTCTTATTGTTCTTTTTAACTGTGCATATAATAAATATCACTGGCTTATACTCTTCTTATTGTTCTTTTTAACTGTGCATATAATATATGCACAGTTAAAAAGAACAATAAGAACATAATAAGCCAGTGGTATCTAATAGTTATCACTGGCTTATTCTGTTGTTATTGTTCTTTTTAACTGCATATATTAGATACCACTGGCTTATTATGTTCTTATTGTTCTTTCTAACTGTGCATATATTAGATATCACTGGCTTATTCTGTTCTTACTGTTCTTTTTAACTGCATATATTAGATACCACTGGCTTATTATGTTCGTATTGTTCTTTTTAACTGTGCATATATTAGATATCACTGGCTTATTCTATTCTTATTGTTCTTTTTAACTGTGCATATATTAGTTAGTACTGAAAGCTTCGTCACACTGTCACTACCTAGTGTAGGGTGCTCGTCCTGTACTTGGGTGTTTCGTCACACTGTCGCTACCTAGTGTAGGGTGCTCGTCCTGTATCTGGATGTTTCGTCACATTGCCGCTACCTAATGTAGGGTGCTCGTCCTGTACCTGGATGTTTCGTCACACTGTCGCTACCTAGTGTAGGGTGCTCGTCCTGTACCTGGATGTTTCGTCACACTGTCGCTACCTAGTGTAGGGTGCTCGTCCTGTTCCTGGATGTTTCGTCACACTGTCGCTACCTAGTGTAGGGTGCTCGTCCTGTACCTGGGTGTTTCGTCACACTGAAGAATGAGACACTGCTAATACATATTTTATAAACATTCAATTTTCTCATTGTCCACACTTACTTGTCACACTCCCTTCACTCTTGACAAACTTCTTCAAATAATAGGTAGGCAAACAACGATTCGTAAGCATAAGGAAAACATTTATTGATGATGGAATAAACTGCATATTTCAACAGAACGTCACCCTGTCTTCTTTAAGGACCGACTATATATAATTAACTAATAATATATATATGCGTATCACAACGGTTACTTATTATAGAAGCTAAGGATTTAATAATAATGAGAAACTAGGTTCAAAATAAGTTAGTATAACAAAAAATATTTTCTCTCCTATACATCAACGTTTATACGTTTTTATGAGTTCCAGGAATGAATATAACCTCTGTGTAATTTATCTGCCGTTTACCAATGCTGCTGAAATGTTGCTAAGCCTTCCATATACCGGATAGTTTTCACGTGAAGAGAATCACGAATATCTGTTGACTCCACTAATTTTGCCAACGGATGATCCCACATTACAAAGAATGCTTAAAAATACAATATGGTGGTGGCAGAAGCCTCGACAGTGGCAATCAGGCAATAACATATCGTCTCTTCCGATTCTATCTCCCTGGCCTTTCACACAATGGACAACGGTGGATCAAGAATTGGCGGTGGGTGGTATTGACTAGCCGCCTTCCCTCTAGTCTATCACTAGTAAATTGAGGACGGCTAGCGCAGGTAGCCCTCGAGTAGCTATGCGCGAAATTCAGTAAACAAAAAACAAACAAACACATATGTACTTGTAATCAACACATAGCAAATACAGATTTAAAAACGACAAAAAGAACAACTGTCATTTGAGTTAAATCAACGGTGGAGTTCTGCGCCATCTATCGGTTTCCCATAAAAGTTCACGTTAGTTGTTGTTGTTTTTTTTCTAGTTCCCAGTGAATTATCGACGTACCTAATCTGTACACTATCGGGCTATAACATGACTTGCAGGAAGATCAAAGCTAATTCGCACAAATCAGAAAAAAAAGTATTATCTTAATTACCTTATCCTTAATGTAACCAAATTCTACCAAGTGAAGATGGTCAGTGTGGTGCGTCTCCACAGAAACGAAGATTTGATAGTAAAGTTTGATATTACTACAAGATTGGAAAAAAATCAAAATGGAGCAACAAAAGACAATAATAAGTCCAGATTTTGAGTTATAGATCAAAATCGGGCAATAATACCTAGTACTGCAAGATTGGAAAAGACAGTAAAATGAAACAATGAAGTCCAAAAATATTTCCAGTTTATAAGTTGGAGATTAAAATGAAGCCATAATAAACAATAGTGCGTAAGATTTCGAGTAAAACAGTAAAATGAACAAAACGACGATAAACAAAACTATAAGCTGATTTCTAATTAGAGGGCAAAATGAAATGATAAAATCAAATGATTTATGTGCATCGAATTCAAATTTTATTTCGGCTTTGTTTTACCCCCAGTCTTTAGCGATATTAAATAATACTATCATCAAATTCGAGCACGACAGAAAAATGGAGCTACATTAAACAATAATATCAGAAGATTATTACTGCAAACTGAAGCTACGTTAAACAATAATATTATCAAGAACATTATTACTGCAAACTGAAGCTACGTTAAACAATAATATTATCAAGAACATTATTACTGCAAACTGAAGCTACATTAAACAATAATATCATCAAGAAGATTATTACTGCAAACTGAAGCTACGTTAAACAATAATATTGTCAGACAACGATTAAGACCGGAAAATAAAGCGACGTTACTCATTGTTCTGCTACCTATTCAACACATCCATCTATCACCATGAAACGGTTGAAAACGTTTTGTTTATCCGATAGCTCCTAGATAACCTGTTTGTGTAAGTCAGCCTCGCCTCCTTTTACAAATATTTATCTTACCTTTCACAATTAACAACCAGTCAAAGTACGCCGTAGTTACTCATACACCCATACTGGTGCAACGTTCTACGTAGTATATTAAACAAGAGCGAACACATACAGCGTGACAAACGAAGGACATAACAGTACAAAAACCACGATCAGATATTCTGAATAAAGCCACAGTTAAAAAACACGTATTTCTTGAAAGAACGCTCCATTAAATGTAGTTAGTCGTGTTTACTTGTGTTGAAAATTTGTCTTCATTTTCAAGGTAGTTGTAATTACACAAATAATTACTTTCAAATATTCTGAATAAAACCTCACTTGAAAACTTAAAAACGCGCCTTTCTTAAAAGAAAACTCCATTAAATATGATTAGTTGTCTTTACGTATAATAAAAAAATCATATTCACTTTCAAGGCAGTTCTAATAGACCAAAAAACCACTTTCCGAGTAAAATCATAGAACACGCATTTCTTCATCGAAAACCCAAATAAATATAATTGTGCTTACACAGAATGAAAGTTTATCTTCACGGCATTTATGGCCATCATAAAGATCAGTTAACAGCCCCCTACTAACCCTTGTTCAGTTATCCCCCCCAACTATACACAAATATACTGTTTTATAAATCAGAATTTGCAGCTTAATAAATTATGTAACACGTAAACGTACAATATATCTATCAGAGTAATTGGTTTATTTCACCCGATTACTGTTAATGAAGGTACCAAAAAACTTCCTAAGTTTTACTTTCTTCTAATCTACCAGAATTCGGAGGAAGACCTTCCTGAATGTGGACAGTGGTCAGTGTGTAATAGAGTCGATACGTACTCCACGCCGTGGGTTGAACGTCGATGTCGATGTCCAGGCAAAAAGTCGTGTTCCTTGTCCTTAGATGACCAAGATGGCCACACAGTTGTATCAAAAACTCGCCAATATAAAGTGAGTATACAATGACTACAAGCTTTAACGCTTGGAGTTAAACTCGCCAATATAAAGTGAGCATACAATGACTAACGTATGGAGTCAAACAGATCTATATAAAACCTCAATTAAAACTAACCTTAATTTGACTTGGTTTTTAAGTAAATTCTTGTAAGACATGACCGTTCGGTCGTTTTTACAACTCTTTCTTTCTGTACAATGTTTGCATTTTACCTAACTTTAATACAACTAAGAGAAATCAATCACGAGCAGTTGATAGATGAGCAAATGTTTGTTTTCTCCAGTTAATGACCAACAATGTTTCAGTCTCTAACACGCCCTGTTACACTCCATCTTCACTTTCTAATATGATGTTACACTCCATCTTCACCTTCTAATATGATGTTACACTCCATCTTCACCTTCTAATATGATGTTATACTCCATCTTTACTTTCTAATATGATCTGTTACAATCCATCTTCACCTTCTAATATGATGTTACACTCCATCTTTACTTTCTAATATGATGTTACACTCCATCTTTACTTTCTAATATGATGTTACACTCCATCTTCACCTTCTAATATGATGTTACACTCCATCTTTACTTTCTAATATGATGTTACACTCCATCTTTACTTTCTAATATGATGTTACACTCCATCTTCACCTTCTAATATGAT